TTTATAAATAGAAGCAATATTTGAACCTCAAAAATGACGTATAAAATAATGTTAATTTAAAAAATAACTTGTGTCCGATCTCTAGTCCGATTACTAGTTTAAAAGGTATGTTCTCGCAAGTAACCATTCCAAATTTTATAGTATTTGGTCAAATGGTTCCGAAGTTATTACAAAAAAATCAAATTTCTATACCCATATTCCGAGGGCTGTAAAATTCTTATCAGTAGAGATAGGACACTAGTTATTATTTAAATTAACATTGTTTTAAAGCTCATTTTTGAGGTTCAAATATTGCTTCATATTTATGAATAACCCTGTATACCTATCCCTATTTTAAGTAAGTTTGACAATTATCTTATTATAAAGCACGTTATTTTAAACTTTATTATTTAACTCCGTGCGTACCTAAGCACAGGTAGGTTCCACTAGTAGGTATTCAGGAAGCAAAAACTATTTTCGTACTTTGAATAATGTTCTTCTCACGCTGTATAATGTTCTGAGCAATGTATATGGAACATTCTGTATATTTAACATCGAAATGGTTGTTTAGAGTTTTTTTAAGTTGGAGTTAGTTGATTACAATGATTATTTATGCCGCCTTCCAATACTTTCCTCTGATAACAGTCTTTAATTTAGTTCGAAAGCCTGGAGGGGCCGTTGTAAAATGAGCAAATCTACTAATTATAGTGAACGCGTATCCAAGATCCTGGCAGAATGGGATGCCTTAGGAACGAGGGCTGCAGATAATAGGTCAGTCCGGTATTTAATTAGTGCTAATTGGTACTCGTAATTAGTATTAGAACTAAGTCTTCACAAAGCAGTTTGGAAATCCTATCGCTCTGCCATTCATTCCCACTACTCTGCGAGTTAGTTTACGGATACTTGGAGACTAGTTTTCATTGGCTAATACCTTTATAAATATTGACATAAAATTTCAACTTCGTTGTATTGTAGTATGTAAGTAGAAAAAACAAAAAATGAACATGAGAATTATTTGTCTTTTAAATAATAAAAAAAATGATAATTTTTTTTTAAAAGAGGTGATTCTGATGAATCGCAGTAAATACTCCGCACATTTGATAAGTGGTCCGCGGTCGAGGAACAAGTCGTTCCTATTAAGGATGAAATGTGTCGCTGATGAGCTTTGAATTGTAGAATTATCGCCATTGATTGTATAGAGCGTGCGATGAGATAAGCCAAGGATGGGTGCAGTAGGTCTGTTTCAAAAACTTTCAGTGAGGTAAATAACTCACTTCGTAAACACTTCATAAAAGTTAACTTTCTAAACAACATTGAAGAAGAAATATACAAAAAGAGAACAAGAAAGAGATATATGTAAAGATAAATGCAAAAAAGAGTCTGGTTCTTCTAATAAGCTGTGAAAGTCGAACTAAGTAATACAATTTAGTTAATTTGGTTAATAAACATTTATAAAAAGACTGTACAACCAATTTGTTTGACCTTACTTTTGATAAAATTTTGTTTTTTTTTTTAATACAGAATAGAGATACGCAAAATTTCTTCAAGGCATTCCTTAATGAACAATAATAACTTTTCCCCTATTAAACGGGCAGTCTTCGAAAATGATTATGTGGATCAAAGGGCGGATTTCGAGGGAAACGAAAACGGTCAGGCGGAAATTAGAGTAATGATCCGTGTTCATTGCAGTTCGAGTTCTGACTTGCATCCCCAATTAACTGCATCTACTTGTATATTGTAACACCTATTATATGTGACTTTAACGAATGATTGTTGAAAAAGTGCTACTTATTGTTGTTTTCGCATTTTTTGCAGATTTGGAAACAATTTTTAAAAAAATATGAATTTCAAAATTTATGTTTCAAGAAAGCGCTAAAAGGAAATCGTAGATGTGTGAGCCCACGGGGCATAAAGTCCTAACTGGCAGTGGCATGGCTTCATGCAAAGTAACTGTAAAATCAATATTTAATCACGATTAGTCTCTGTAACAACACATGTGCTTTGTTATCGTCATACGGTAAATTAATCAAAACGTATTTTTCAATATTGAAACACGACTCGGCGTAATTGAAAATTTCAATAAAACTAACGGCAGTGTTTATAACGCGTGCCGGAGAAATTAACTGATTTGTTTCGTTTGATAAAAACAATATTGCAAGTAGCGCCCGGTTCAGGTGCCAACTCATAAAGTGACAAAACGAAAAAAATTGTTTATTGTTAGACCCGATTTAATGTTTTATTTTATTTATTACTGAAAAACTTTATGTTATACGATAAGATCTGTATCTACCTAAGAAAAGTTAAGAAACGGTTTTGTTTGCATTTTTGAGAATAACTAAATGGTTCGAGAAACCATCCAAGAGGTGGTGCCGTCGTTTTAATTATTCCATGTGTGAATTTTATATCGATTTACAAAGAGTAATAAGTAGTTATTTATTACACAAGACGATAAACAATCTTTATCGTTGTGTTTAATATTTTGTTTTACTCACCTACCAGAATTTCTTGTGTCTGGCATATTTTTTCTTACATTTTTTATTTTATTTTATAAAAATTCACGTTATTATTGATGGTTCTTTTACACAGTTCTTTTCTCTACTAGTTTAAGCATGTACATACTCTTGTGTAAGTTACTAATGAAGAGTACAGACAGTAGATCAAAATTACTTTATTTCACTAGACGCTAAAAGACTACTTTATCTACTAAAATTAGTTGATAAAAGTAAAAGCACTTTTTAACCTTGTGTACAACATAAAATATTTTATTTGAAATAGCATGTTCCGTATAGTATAATTAAAAAGCGAACCCGTCAAAAACTAAATTAAAAACTTTCTGGGTTTAGTCAATTATCGCTTTGAATCAGAACGCTACGTTTTAATGAAAAATTAATGAAAATGCCAATTAAACTTTATGGTGATGGCCCTGAAAGGTTGTATCGAGCTGAAAAAAAAACAGCATATTGAAACAGACTGAGTGAACCCCTGTAACCTGGCAATTACAAATAGAACTTAGCAGTAAATTGAATATATAATCGTTTTCATATTAATGTGCAAGGGATCATTTTAAGGTGGCAACTATCCGAAAATTCAAACAATCCCAACCTCAATCTTCCCTAAAAATTATTTTCTCAAATAAATAAAAAAAAATAATTAAAATTGACCACGTTTCTAATTAATATAGGGTGAAAAACATAAAGATTTTTGTCATTATTGATGTGATTAAATTTGTTCTGAATGACATTAATGACACTTTTTGTGTGAATCGGCCTCTAATTTAAAGAAGCATTTAGACTTCTACAACCTAGTTGATGCACATTAATATGAAAAAGAATACAGGGTGTTTACAGTCTAGGAGTTGAAAATTGACCTAGTAATAGAAGAATACAGAAATACTGTAACCGAGAAAAAAACTCACACAATTGTTATTATTAAGAATGCTATTAACCTCCAAAATATTGGTGCACGGTTTGAGGGTCACTGGAATTATTTCCTTGTCCAGATAATATTATATTGTTGCAACAGATAAAAAATCGTATCCATGACAATGAAAGAGAAAAGTCACTTCATAGTTTTGACACTGCCATCATTTGATCTGCTTTTGCTTTAGTTTTTATCAAAATTCGAAGATTTTCTGTATAATCTCTTCCAGCAAAATGGTTTCTAACGTTTTTCTTATTTTTTTTCCAAATTTATGAATATGTATGACAAATATTAAAATAATAAATTGGTTGTCGTGGTTATGATTTACGGTGAAACACAAGGTAATGATACTAATGGTCATTGTTGCAGCCGAAGCAGCAGTTCTCAAACAAATAGTATAAAATGAATTATAACGCATATAACATGAATTTTTGTTTTAGATAGCGTATTAGTTTTCTTCTACCGTTAATATCATCTCATTTAAATTTCAACCCCAAGACTGTAAACACCCTGTATACGTGTAAGAAACTCATTGCAATTAAATGTTAGTTTTGAAAAAATAGAAAGGGCTTGACATGTTCCAAATATTTTTATGTTTGCACCATTTACCAAGTTTTTCTGCGACTTTGGCGCCAGCTATCAAGCCACCCTGCTGAGAGGATTACAGCACTCAAGAAATTATTCCAAGGATTTAAGTCAACAAAACATATGTCCTGACAAATATAAGAGAGTAGGAGAGCTTATTCATTCGGCACTCGATCTTATCTGTTTAAGTGGCTTTTTATAAAGATTTAGTCTGAACGTTTCAGGGTGTGGATTTGAGCCGACACGGGGGTGTAAACGCTTGTTATCAGAATTAATTTCATGTTTCTTTGGAATTACCATTAAGGTCAACTATTTTTTTCATCTAATACTTAGTATTTTCTTGACCAAATATTTGTAATGGGATTAGCATAAGTTCGATGAAATCAGATAAAAAAAACAGTAATGGCACTTCTCTTTTTCGCCGACCACAATTGATGCAGACAGTCTATCACTCCGCAATCACCCTCTTTTAGTGAGGATTGTAAACTGATTGAAGATATGTTAGAATTTGATGGAGATGATGAGTCATGACCCTTCTTGGTCCAAATTTGCCACTATCACACTGTTAAATTAAGGGACATAAAAAGTCCGTGAAGGATCGTCGGTAAAAGATAAAATGAAGACATGCGGTTGGAACATTGGCCAATAGAAGATCGGTTTGTAAGCCCACCCTGAAAAACAAAATTTCCCAATTCTTTTCAGCAGTGGTCATTACTAAACGCTTTGTTCAGCAAGAAAACCGAGTTAGATCCAATAGCTGCCGAAATCTCTTGTTATATGATCCCGACAATCGACTCTAAAGCCAGAAGATGTCGCCAAGATAACAAATGAAACAAGCTTCCGGAGAAGGCGGAGACACCAAATGATTGAATTCAAAGCAAAATCGAATCGTTTCCTTTTATTGGAGGGAGTTTTTCTATTTAAGCTCTGTTGTAATAAAATCTTGCATCGAGATGATGATTTTTTCATAGCTTTCCCCTGTTTTAATTTTACATTCTGACGTTTGGCTGGCATATTTCAGTTACTATTGTGACATTTCTGAAACAAAATGATATCCGAAATTGAAAATGAGGAAATCAGAGCGATTCCGCAAGAAAAATATGATTTGGTTGTTTGGACGCCACACGAAAAATTATTTCGCAACAGAGTTACATTGAGAAATAAGGTTTTGTCTGAAATTGCTGTGCCTTTTACGATCGCTCTGCAGGTGAAATTGCGCCGATCAGTATTCGGAACCTACCTAAATGATTTCAATGAAAACCAATGTCAAAATGAATTTCTCAATACGAATAAACTGAGCATTATGGATTGCGTTATGAGGGACTTTAATTCAAGACAACTAAACCTGTTTGATTACAATAATAATTTGTTCGACCATGTAATAAAATACTTGAATAATACTGTCACAGAAACGAAGCAAATTGACTGTGACTTTCTTTATGAACATGCGACGCATCTAAGAATGGATGATTATCATGTAAGTTTTTTCATCTAATACTTGTTTTATTACTTAGTCCACATATAATTAAACAAGTAAAAAAAAATTGTAAATTAATTAAATTTGTCAAAAGCAGTGTTTTGTAAATAGACCACCAAAAGAAAATGACAAGTAAGATGAGATACCAGGAACATTTTTTTTTAATTATATCTGTCGAAAATTTTTGACATTTATTTTTTGTCATTTGACATTTTTTTATGTCTATTGTTACCGATGAATCATAATTATTTAGTAAAGGTACAAAAACTTTGTCAATAAAAGCTACAAATAACGTTAAACATAGTTACAATTCAGGATACAGCTTCCTTGTTTCCTCTTCTAATATCCTGTACCAAAAAAAACTTGTAAAATTATTTATTTTTTCAACAGAAATAATTACAGTCAAAGTGCAAAATTTAAACTCATAGCATCAAAATTTTTATAAATAGAATTTGTTTAACATCTTTTACTGTTCCTGGTATCTCATCTTACTTGTCATTTTCTTTTGGTGGTCTATTTACAAAACACCCTATATTATGTCATTAGGAGTAAATGTATACTCTTTTTCATATTAAAGTGCATGAAGTAGGTTGTAGAAGTCTAAATAAATCTTTAATTTAAAGGCCTATTTACACAAAAAGTGTAATTAATGTCATTCAGAACAAATTTAATCACATCAATAATGACAAAAATCTTGTCAAAGTTTGCTACACTATGTTAATTACGTTGCTAATTTTTATTATTTTTGCTACATGAGGTACACATTTTTAGGAAAGATTAAAGTAAGGATTGTTTGAATTTTCGCATGTTTGCCACCTTAAAATGACCCTTTTCAACGACTACTTCAATGCACATTAATATGAAAATGAGTATAGTGCATGTGGCGAACTTAACGTTTATTTTGCCAAACGTAGTGAGGCAAATAATTCAACTAAGCCATATAAATCCACTTTTAGTTGTACCATTTTATCCGCAAACTTATTCAGATCAAGAGTAAAGAGCAACATTGTAATTAGCAAGTAAATGAACAAAATAATCAGGACGCATTCCAACTAATGACATCATGATGAACAAAAATCACGCGTCAATATCGAAATTTGTGTTGAGATTCTCGAAAGTGTTTATTACTTTAACTAGTGCAGTTGGTAGTGCAAAATGTCGAATACTGATGATCTACGATGTATGTACCTCTCCAGAAATTGTTGAAGCAGTGAAAGACACAAGAAATTAGTAAGTCTCAATAATGTCATGCTAAAAGTAAAAAGGCTTAGGGGCAAAAATATAATTTTTGTTCCATGGCTGAAAGGTAAAACTTTTATTTGTGACATTTAGTCATAAAAGTGGTCACTTTTGTGATGTTTGCGGATAAAATACATTATTATATTTTATTTGTATATATTATTATCAAATCAGGGCTTGTCATGGACATTTTCTCTAAAACTATAAACTTATTTGTCCAAAAACCTCAGAAGTTTTAAAATTTAGAAACTTGTAGTTTACTAATTACTTTAAAATAAATAAATGTTGACATTAATTATTGCCATTTATTTGAGAAATGTATGCACAAATTACAGAAAATTACTTGCATACAATTTTTCACTATTTTTAATTGATTTCGAATTATGTATTGCTCATTATTACACTTTTCTGGCGTAGATTCTTTTAAAATTACGTAAAACATCTGTTTTGTGTATTTCTAGATAAATATGGTAGATGATGGCATAAGAAATTTTCGAAATCTTCAAATTCTAATTATATGTGGTAACTGGATTGAAAATATCGACGGTTCGGTACTTCCTAGACGACTAAAATTTCTTGAACTCTACGTCAACGAAATTAAATCATTAGATGATTTAACACACAAACCCCCTAAACATTTGTTGCACTTGGGGCTAGCTAGAAACAAATTAACAAATGGTAAGTATTTTTTCACCAACCTTCCATTAAATTAAGTAGAGAATTACTGGTATTGCTATTTATTGTTTTTTACTTTTTTTGCACTATGCATATTTTTCAAATTGGTCAGAATGTGCGTATAATCAGTTCACAAAAAGGTAGATAGAAATATGCTAAATTTGGAGTTAAAACGAAAGCCTCTCTTTTATATTACCACAAAAATGAAAGGGCTGTGTTAGGTGTCTTATTGTCATGAGCGAACAGCGTTTTCGTTTCAAAATACCAATGATATATTTCTCCGTCATTACTCATCATTTCTCAATTAGCCAAATTAGCAGACGCCATCTCTCGTTGGCCATTACACGTATCCGTAATATCATAGTTCTGTTACTGCTGAGGCAATATTGAGGGTCGCATTGGACCGTAAAAGTTAACCACACATTAACGGTGCTCTGTCATTCGTAATGGAAAACATCAAAAGTTTTTCACTATTAGCATTAGTATTTTTTTGGTGCGTTATTTATTACGGAGACTCGACAAAATGTTTCACATAAGTTTGAGTATATTAAACTTTAATATCGAAAAACTACACTACATAATTACTCAGAAATTATGAGTAGTAAAATACTTGGAACGAGTATACAGGGTGATTCATCTCAGCTCCGGTCTTCTGTAGCTGAGAACTTTGATATTTTGTAGACTTAATGTAGAATATTTCAGGAAAATATTTTTGATTACACAGGGTGGTACAAAAATAAGTTACAATACAAACTTACGTTTTTTTTTAAATAAAAATCTACAGGGTGTTCATTTTTCAAGCTCCACCATGATCTCAGGTATTATAAGAAATACGAGGTCGGTTAAATTAGGTTAAAGTTGCGCATTTTTATACGGAACAATAATCTAAAAGAAAATTTAATCTATCATTTTTAGTTTTTGAATTATTGGAAAAAAACTGAAATTTGAAATTTGGTTGGTGTTTTTTCCAAAGCACTCTTCGCAAAAAATGCTTTTTCTTAATTTTGATTAAAATGTAAAATTTGATCATATCATGTGATATATCGTTGTAATCAGGAACGAAAAGACTTTTCAAAAAAACAGGAATCAAATATGGCGTCTATAAGAAAATTCAAAGTTGAGTGTTGTAACTCTGATATCAAGAGCGCTTTGGAAAATACGATGACAGATTTATAGATTTCTTGTAAAAAAAGTGCCGTGCTAGTTAAAAACGTCTTTTAGTTTTCTCTTGAAAAAATAAAAACAAAATTTCAAATTTCCGTTTTTTTCAAATACTTCAAAAACTAAAAATGACACATTAAATTTTTTTTAAGTTTATTGTTTATCATAAAAATTCGCAACTTTGCCCTAATTTAACCGACCTCGTATATCTTATAATAACTGAGATCCCCATGGTGGAGCTCGAAAAACGAACATCCTGTATATGTTTCTTGACCTTTTTGAATGTAGCTTTTAATTTCAATGTTTTTAAGCTAAACTTCTATTAGTCGATTTTGCTTAGTTTTTGAATTAAGTTGATTTTCTTGGTGAAAACAGCTCTTTTAAAAATTTATTACACAAAAAGTTAAGACAGCTAATGAAAAAAAATACCACCGTAAAGAGGAAAGTACGAACTTTAAGACTATAATTTTTTTTAATGTATTGTAGTCAAAAAATATTGAAGTTTGTTAAATGTTAAATAACTTAAAAAAATTTAAATAGAACATCCTATTTTTTGTTTTTACATCTAAAAGATTATTAAATAATCTCCAAAAACATTTACTTTGAAGTCTCTGCAGTTAATAACTAAAAACATATTTAACTATAAACATTAAAAATAATAATAATCATTATTTCAATAGCCAAAAAGTGCAGGTTTGCACTAGACATAGAAGAAATATCACTTAATAATCACTTTTATGTTACCCTGAATCTATTATTCTTTCTTTTTACAATAAAACAATTCGAATTTCGATATTTATGTCGGCATTTTCAATTTCTGGACAAATCCCAAATAATTATCATGGTTACCTTAGTGTCAACAATGCTCATTTTAATGATAGTTATTGTTGCCACAATTAATATTTAAAATTAAATATCTATTAATTTATAAATTGTAGACATCAAAAGTTTATTTTTTCAGATAGACAATTTATCATTCTATGAGATAAAAAATAAATAAAAAATAGGGTGTTCCATATAAATATTTTAAGTTATTTTACTTTTAACAAATTTCGCCATTTTTTTAACTTTTTGATTGCAATCATTAAAAAAATATTAAAGTCTTAATAAAGTTCGTACTTTCCTCTTTACATTGGTAAAAAAATTTCTTCCAGCTTTCTTAACTTTTTGTGTAATAAATTTAAAAAAAAGATGTTTTCGCCAAAAAAAAAACAACTTAATTCAAAAACTAAGCAAAATCAACTAATAGAAGTTGGGCTTAAAAACATTTAAATCAAAAGCTACATTCAAAAATCCCAAGAAACATTTAGTGTTTCGTTTAAAAAAACATAAGTTTGTATTGTAACTTATTTTTTGGCCAGATGGTATAATCAAAAATATTTTCCTGAAATGCGCTTGAATATAAATTAAGTCTACAAAACATCAAAATTGCCACTTAAAAAAATAATTGAGCTACAGAAGACCGGAGCTGAGATGAATCACCCTGTATTGCTTATAAATTGTTTAAATTTTTATTTACGTCTAACTTTTTCATTGGTGTTGGAATTTATGAACGGATATGTGTGTCATTTAGTATATTTAGAAATCAGGAATAATCTCAAATATTTTGTTAAAATGGGTTTCAAAACTAATAGTAGATATATTAATTGATATAAACATTTATACCGGCAGGTGTGCACATTTATTATACAATCCACCCACAAGTTCATCTCTAGCTGTGGCGTCGAATTGGCCGTTCGGGTGCCAGACTAACACTTATTAACACAGCGGTCATATAAACATATTATGATTTAATGTCGCGGATGCAGACCCGCATGTCCGTATTATTAATTATTATGGCCTCGTAAAGGGGTTGTATAAACTTTTATCTCGTTTTGTCAGACTTTGTTGGTCCACCGGGTTGTGTCCAAAAGCCGCAGCGCGCGTTCACCTAAATGAAATGTGTGCAAATGTTCCGTGAAAAATTTCCGACACCCAGGTGACATTTGAAATAATACACCTCGTTTAGTTTTTAATTATTATTTATTAGATCAGACGAATTTTTGCGCTCGAATAATTTGCCTTTATTTTCAGACGGAAATGTGGCGTTTCACCACTTTTAACCGAAAATGCAGAGGACACAGTGACACTAATCTCACCTAATACGGGATCAACTTCAATCCGACATCAAAACTCTGTTATTATTTTCTTGCTTTTCCGACGTTTATTTTAGCATTGCATCTGTTTTAAGTCTATACAGTTGTGTGGGCAATCTGCTCTCAAGGTTTTTTATTAATATCATTTTTTATTCAAACTAAATACACTCACACTGATAATATGAGATAAAAATGTTCTAAACAATAGAAAAGCTATGCCACATACATTTGCACTTTTTAAAAATGTATTACACAAAAACTAAGACATTTAGAAATAAAACAATAAAATTTTAGCGTAAAAACATTGTTTTAAAAGGCTACATCCAAAAATGCCAAGAAACATTTGGTGTTTCATATAAAAAACACAAATTTCTATCATAACGTATTTTTGGGACATGCTGTATGGTTGAATTTTAGGTGATGCACTAGATTAGTAGGTATCTATTAATGTCCTATACATTTTTTTAAAATTTTAACTCGCTGGGACATCCTGTATAATTTTGTAAATATAAATGGCGAAGAACGTTAGTGATTTGAAAAAAGTATGTAGTGTAGTTGGATGATTTAAATGATTTAATTTTTTGGTATGCAGTCAGTGAGGGTTTAAATATTCATTAAATTGTATTTTTGGCTTGCTGTCGGATTGTTCATTGTTAATGTGGCGAAATACCAGATTAGACCGATGCTGCTCTAATTCGAACATCGAAACAGAGCCAGCAGAATAAATTAGCAGAATAAAATATTAAAAGCCAGTTTAATTGGGACTTATTAAAATTTCTACACCCAAGGGATGAAATTCGAGCGCATCAAAATGTCCTTTGAATACGCTATTTATTTATTTATTTATTTTATTTATAGTTTTTGCAATATTCAAAATTGTTTCGATTATACAATCACAGCAGCAAGGCACTAGGCTAAAGACATGTAAGGGTCTAAATATGCAAATTATTTTAAAAAGTTTTGCCTTTAATTTGTGCGAATGTTTTAAAAGCAGGCAAAATGTTATATGAAAATTATAAAAGGAACATGTGGCACCGGTAAAATTAGACTCTTAACAGACGGATGAACAAAACTAATTAGGAGTAATGGGAGACAGTGTGTTTTAAAATAAGTAAGCGGACTAATGAAAACCCTCACATGAGAAAAAACTCATCAAAAATAATGGCGGGTAGTTTACGTAAAATTGTTTTGCGTCTCGTATTTAACCCTTATTAATTGTTCTTCACTTTCGTTGTAAATAGGCAAAAGAAAATTAAATCACAAATAAAAAAATTATTATTATTATTAAATAAAAATAATATTTACTAAAATCAAGGCAATTAAAACAGTTTGCATGCTTTTAAATAGCACTAAAATAATAGTTAAAAATTACATGTCACTCATGCCTTTAAAGAGAAACATTTCTTTTAAATTGCTACAGAAGATAAGTGCATAACTCACATTTCACATGGTGTAAAACAAGATAAGAGGAGACAATGTTAACAAAAGCAGCAAGTGAGTTAAATTTTTCCAAATTTAATTTCGTCCTGTCTGAATATGATGCATTCATTATTTTTGTTGAAAAGTAATATAAATTATACGAAATTTAAGCCAAGCACATATCGCTTTCAGTTGACATTTGCACAAAGAATGACACTTGAAGTGGCCGTTTATTGTTGTCACAAATGATAACGTTTTCCCTTGATTAATGATATGCTTCGTATTGTA